GTGCCCTGCCACACTAACCAGTCAGACTGTCCTCAAGAGATGTGATGATACATTGCAAATATGAACTCATTAATATTACCATTATCAATTAGAAAACGTGCAAGAGACAAGGTTGAATGTTAGTATCACATACTTGAGAGAAAATCTTAGTCATATGTTCTTGACTTTAACCAGCTTCAAAGTGGTACTGTGTAATAGCACAGAACTCAAAACAGGATGCATTAGGACCATACATATTTTTATGGTATTCCTACCATAACAAAAAAGATGTTTTATTATTGTGGAAACCTGTAAAAGACAGTCAACAGGAAGTTTAAGTCATTTGTTTGAGTTTCTACTTTAAGGGCTTCAATTTCAGATATTCTTTTTAAACTAGCCAGAAATAATTTAGTGTTAATGAATCTTAGAAAAGAAAAGATTGAGTTATTAAGCACTCTTCCATGCTTGTTCTCACCTGCATAACTTAAAAATAGCTTACTGTATTAACAAAAATATCATCATGCCTATACCTCAATTAAAAAGTTGTAAGCATACAGGATATAGCAAGTGAGAAATGGAGATCTAGTACAAACAATAGGGAAATTTCCACATATTGTAGTCTCTAAATACAACATCCCTACAGATTTTATATTATTATATAGTCTTTTGGTACAATCAATATTTAATAGCATATTTCTGTGGGCCAATAAACAGTGATATTTGCTACTGCAAGGCACAAAACTATGGTTTGGAGAAGTTTTTGTAAAGTATGCACTTACACTTAGTGCTATGTAGAGTTTACCATTACCAGAAAAGTGGCTGGTGAAAACAAGATTGAAAATCAGCTGCAAACAATATATTAAAACAATTTTGAAAGACATTTAAACATAACATTTTGAATTCAAAACAGGGAGACAGTTGTTCCAAAAAAGTCTGTGTATAAACATGTCACTTTAAAAAAAAAAAGCCTAGTAAAAAAATGACTGTCCTTAACTAGCCAGCAACAAGTAGATCTTACAGATAAACACAAGGGAGGGAGATATCAAATTATGCATTGACAATTAGGGGTATTTAAATAGCACACAGGCATTCAGCACTTATGAAGTTTATTGTACAAACAATATTGAATAGTATCACTTAAGCTGTAGCCATTTTCAGAGTCAAAGATGTCACTCAAGATTTTCTTCAAAAGTTGCCATTATAACACTCTGCATATTCATATCAATGGTACCAGTCATCTGCAGGAAACAATTAACAGAGTCTTACTTATGATAATGAGTTTTGAAGAGCTAATGTTGTCACCCAGGATCTTTTCTAAAATGACAAACCATACTCAGTTTGTTCGTAGTAGCATCCACAGTAGTACTATTATCTGCTTTCCAGGTCACATTAAAAAGAGTAACTAGTCCAGTTCCACTGTCACTTCACATAGACTTTAATACATGTTTCTAACAGGATTCCCATTTTAAAAAGGCAGCCAGCTTTAGTCTGTGCTACTCCAATCTAGTAATTATGACATTGGAAGCACTGGAATCATATCATGAAGCAAGCAAAAGTATTAAATAGTTGAGAGTGAGAAGAGCCCTTTGATTAGGAAAAAGGGTATACAGCATTGATCAGATAGAAAGAAAAGTAGCCTTTGGGAATTTTTTTTTTTTTTTTTTTTTTTAAGAGGGGCTTTATTTTGGTATTGCAAAAAACGGTTTGATCACAAGGCAAGTATGTATGAAAGAACAACTTAAGCCTTTTGCCTTAAGCTTTTTAAGAGATCAAAAACTATTGGGAACTAAATATTTTGAGCTGATGAGCATAAGGAAACAAATTGGTAAATACAATTATACAAAAACTAGATGCTTTTATAGCATTGTTCTTTTGCTTCATATTTGTTATTACATCTAGATTTCTTAAAAAAAAACAAAACACACACACCAAAAAAAAAACAAACCCCCAAACAAACAAACAAAAAAAAACCCCACAACTGATTAGTTATATGCTTTGACAGAAGTATTGATGACCTACTGAGGTCCCTTCTGATCCCAACACCTATGAATGCATCAAACAGAAGAACAGTAGAGGAGCCTATAGCAGGCCTAAGGGCATATCTACATGTTAAAAGCTATTTTAAATTAAAGCTAGGGTGTAAGTTTAAAGTGTTTTAATAACTTCTGGGAAGCCATCAGGATATTCGTATTCCATAACAGATGCCTTTTTCCAATTTTGTTTTATCCATGTGGGAAGCTAATGTGGAATAACAATTTCAGTTAATAGTTACTGTAGAAACAAAGTCCCAAGTTATGATAGATCCTTTAAGGGATGATCCAAAGTTCATCATAATCTGTTGGGAGTCTTTCCATTCAAGTCAACGGGCTTTGCATACAATTGGAAAACTGGTAAACTTGACTTGCGTTTATACTTGTGACCTTCCGTCCTCCGAAACAATATATTCAAGCAGTCTGTGCTTCTCTAGGCAGGCCTCCTCCTAAAAACTGTGATGCCACTGCACTTGGATGGGTGGACAAACTGACAAACCAGGGGGCAAAACGGATAGACCAGTTTGCTTAACTCAACCCCTTAAATGCCACAGAGATGACCACAATGCTTCTGGTAAAGATAGCCTGCCCAGAGCAGTGCAGAGTACTTGAGGAGGCTGCTCTTGGGAACACCTGTGTTTGCAGTATAGACAGTCAGGGTGTCACTGGAAAGGGCTGAGGAGCAAAATGTAAGTACCATGAAGTTCAATTAGGATTCTGGGGAATCCACAACATCTTCTAGTTAATTAAGGCATTATTTCAGTGACTGGAAGAGAAAATACCTATATATTTTCGCTTCTGTCTAGGCGAACTTCTACAATCTCTGCTCTCTCCTATGCAGGATGAAGCATGTGTGCCTAAAAGCATGCAAATAACTAGACCAACTAGATATTTGCAAATGAATTATTTTAATAAAAGATATTACCTCTTCCATTAGTTTTGATTCCATATACCCCTAGCACATACTTCAAGGCAGCATCTTATCACAATACAGCTGTCATTTAAATGCCCTTTTCTGACCAGTCCAAAAGTAGCTGAAAGCCACCTTTGAGTAACTCCTTTTCAGACCCTTTCCAGCTGCATTTTGTACTGTACCTCCTGGAGAAGGAGCATAGAGCCAAAACAGACATTTTATTTATTACCCAGAGACTCAACAAAACTTGGGTCAGCATGATCATGGTCTTCAATGATTAACACTAGCAGTAACTTACTGCTTCCTTTCTCCTGCGTTCTTGCTCCATTTTTCTAGCCAAGTCACGGTCTTTGACAAGACCTTGTTGCAAATTTTGTTGTGCCCTCAATGATTGTTGCTGTTCTTTTATTGGGTCCTCTTTCTGGGGCTCCTGGGCTTTTATTGCCACTGGTTCCGGTTCCATTGCTTCTTGGTTCCTTATAAAGAAGTAGAGCAAATTATTCTTCTTTTCCCGTATCCCCTACAGCTTTTACATGTCAATGTCAGCCAAAAAGTGTCAGTTAAAGCAGCACAGCACACTTTATATGTGGTCCAACATCATGTAAATGTGGATTCACAATCCTTTTCCTTTCCAGCATAACATCTGTATGGAATGCCCAGGAATTAAAAAAAAAAAACAAAACAAAACAAAAAAAAACCCTCCAAAACAATCTAGTAGCAATGCTACAATAACTACTGATTTTTTTCCTACATTAATGCCATAGGAATATTGATTTTTTTTTCTTTAAAAGAAAGCCATATACTTGTGCACAACACCTTTTCTCCCCCAAACAACTAACTGCTAGAGATTGGAATGCATGTTATATGAAAGGAAGTATGGTAAAAGCAGTTTCTGTTGCTTGAACTTTGGTTGGGCAAAAGCTAAAGCAAAGCCTGTTCTGCTCCCTGTGGATTGCATGTAATGTGCAGGCTCTGCTTTCCCTAGCTGGTACTACTCTGTCACTCATCTACAAGTAAAGACGCTCCCCCCCGGGGTTCATTCTGCCTTTCAAAAAACAAGGCGCATATCTTATTCCAAGGCATACTGCATGCAAGAAAATATGGTATATGAACTGAGGTTTTCCTGAGTCACGTTTGACATTTGCCTTACTAAGGAGCCTTGGAATCTTGGCTTCTGCCTTCCTGAAAGCTTCCATACTAAGGGAGGCCTTGCTAACCAAGATCAGGTAATTTTTTCAAAGAACAGATTCCATAGATGTGTCTTGCATTATGAGATGTGGGAAAAACATGGAGAGAAACCAAGAGCAGCCTCATCCTACTCAGTCTATAGACTGAGGACTTGCAGAGAGGACTTGCAAGACTATAGGACTTGCAGAGAGGCTTTAAGAGGGCATGAAAAAGGAGGAAAAAAAGGGCTTGTTAACTCATGAACTAAGGAGCTGTTCAATGTAGACAGCATCAGAGTCGACAGTGCCCTAATTGTGTGGACAGTACAGGTGCAATGCACTGGCAGAGAGATGCAAGGCTTATGCCTACACATTTTAAGAGTTGTATTGGTTTTCCTTCTTTATAGAGAAAATTGGCTGAAGTATCTTGAAGTCAATCATTCTTGAAGTCAATATAAAATTCTTCCAGCATAGGAAGGGGCTTTAAATGATGACTCCAGCACCACTGTCTTTTCAAGAATATTAGTTAATAGATGTAGGGTCAGATGGGACCTGAGCAGATTATCAAGTCTGACCCCCTGCCATGGGCAGGAATGAATACTGGGCTCATATGACCCCTGGTAAGTTTAAGCTCATATGACCCCAGCTAGGTAGGTTATTGAGCCTCCTTTTAAAGACCCCTAAGGTAAAAGCCAGCATCGCTTCCCTTGGAAGCTGAAAATCAGCTGAATCCAAATCTGAAGATTCAATGCTGATTCAGAAAAATCAGCGATTTGGCCATTGACACAGCTTTAAATGTTCCCTCTACACACCTTGAGGTACCAGGCGTGACTTGTGAATGACAAGATGATGGGGCCCTTGGGCACCTGACTTGAGCAGCTTGATAGTGTTTGTGTTTGCTTACAAGCAGACCACCTCAGGGATTCAACTTAGTCCTTACAGTATTCCTTTTCTGTTTTAAAACAGGGGTGCTGTTTAGTGTAATTTTGATCAGTGAGGCCCTCAACTGTTTCATGTAATTTTCATGCGAGGCAGGGAGGGAGATTCCCAGAATAGAGAAGCATTCATGCATGTCCACAAGTGACATCACCTTGATGCAGTTTGGCACTAACTGAAGCTGCTTGGACTCTATGCCCTCTGATCTCAAATAGGTATCAAACACTACAAAGGTGGAAGAAAGCCATTCCCAGGTGGACCTCACCCAGGAGAAAATAAGTAAATTATTTTAAATACCAAGAAGCAGACAACAGCTAAGGACAAGATTCAGGCACCAGATGATAAATTTAGTTTTCCAAAAGGCCAAATAAGCAAAATCAAGTGTTAGCCAATTTCTTTACTAGATTTCTGAGAGGGGGGAGCTTTTTTCAAGGCACACAAGTAGACATGTACATTGTGCTTCCGGTACTGCTGCACCACTCTTAAATTCGCATCTCTCAGAATAAAACTAAATTGCTGTCATCAAGGAGTCTTGGATCCTAAGGTACACAAACCTCTTGCAAACTTAGTGTGCATGAAGAGCTCTTAAGCTGGGAGGAGATCAAGTCCCATTATTTAGTAAAGCTGCAGAGAATGGAATCTGTTATTATGGCTCCTGACAGACGTTCTGTTTAATATGCAGTTAACCTGTTAATATCTTAATTAGTAACCTGACCACATGGTCAGGTAATTAAATGTTGTGACAAAATGAGAAACCATTTTACTGAAACATCCCACAAAACATGTAATGTCTTATGGCTGTTTTCCTTCGTGCCTTAAGTTCAATTCATGGCAGGTTCCTGCTGTGCATGATGTCAGCTGCATAGTGGGGGTTGGTTGACAGCCCTATTTTAGAATTGTAGCAAGTTAGGATTGGAAGGGACCTCAGGAGGTCATGTAGTCCAACCCCCAGCTCAAAAGCAGAACCATTCCCAACTAGATCATCCCAGCCAAAGCTTTCACTTAAAAACCTTCAAGGATGGAGTATCTACAACCTCTCTGGGTAGCTTGTTCCACTGCTTTACTATTCTCCTTGTGAGAGGTTTTTTTTTTCCCCCCTAATGTCCAAGCTAAAAACTTCCCTTGATACAACTTTCAGGGTGCTGAGTCAAGGGGAACTCATCAGCTGGGCCAGAGTGCAGGTTGTCAGGAGCCAGGGGACTCCCTGCAACCTAGGAGGTCGATTGCTTTGCCCTGCAGCTCTGAGTGAGAACCAGCTAGGGGGTGGCACTGCTCCCTCTGCTTGACACTAGGAGCCAAATTGTCCAAGTAGCTGGGCAAAGTCCTCTTGGCTACTTCTTACTTTAGTATGAGGCGGGGGGGGGGAAGCTAGGGCTACTCCTCCCCTCTCCATATGAGATGGGTGGGAACAACTGCCTCCTATACCTTCTTTAGAACAAGGTGACCCCAGGCTCCAAGAGGCAAGGAAGCTTATCCCCTGTGACTCAGCTCCTCCTGAAGGCCAAGAGAAGTGAAGTGAAGTCACAACATACGCAAGTTTATTCTCAAGAGAAACTCTCCTTGGAGCAACTTCTAACTGGTTGGAATTGTTATTTTTTCTCCTAGAACTGCCATTTTTGCTCCAGGAGGAACATTTGGAACACCTGTTGTTTCTACTGAGAAAACAGCAATTCTTGTTGTAGAAACAGAATGTCTGTATGTGACCTACAAGTGGGGATAGTGAAAGCAGTTTTGAAGAAGCCCTTTCAAGTGCTGGAGGTTGTCTAGATAGGGTAAAGAGATCAACACAGGCCGACACCATATTTTTCATGGCAGAGCAAAGGCAGTGCTAAGGGTCCTCTTGCTGCCACAGAGGTTAGGATACTAAATTTGACTGAACACTGCAAGCCAGCAGAAATCAAATATGACCAGCAGCAACAGGCTCCTTAGTCAGCCCACAGGAGTTGACCATGCATGTCTGAGCACAAGACTGCTTGCCATGCATTTCTACTCTGTTCAGGAAGCTAGAATGGTACATTTTTTACATTAAAATTACCAGTATGACTTATCACCAATTTCACATAGTAAGCTGAAACACTCAAAATTTTGGCTAAAAATGCAAGTCTTTTAGAGTTGAAGGAAATCAATGCACACAAAGTTCTTTATTCCAGGTCCAACATTTAAAAAAAAAAAAAAAAAAAAGTGTCCTGCACTTTCTGGCTAATTAAGAGATCTATGAACTATGCACCATTTTTTCCAGCCAAAATTGCTGTTGTAGTGCACAGGTACAGTAGCATATTCCAAACAAAAAGGTGATTATCAGGAGATTAAAAATGTGTACATCTGTATCTTGCTTCTTTTTAGGTTTTTACAGAGTTGGATACTCAAAATATTAGTAAGCCATCTTAAGAGGAAAATACTGACATTGCAAGTGTTGCACAGTTACTGTAGCAGTCTTCCATAGCAGTTTTGCACTGACAGTTTCAATTCTTAGCCATTGTAATGGAACACTGGCAATTTCTAGAAAAAAAATTAAGTTACTCTAGATATTAAAGACTACTAATGCCCATATTTCAATTATTGAAGGAGGTTTTATCGGCTTATAAAACAAAGAGCACTGCACATAATGTAGGCCTATCCATTAAAGCAGTTTTTAGACAAGTCACGTTGTATTGTTGTCAATTAAGCAGATTCCTTTTGACTTAAGAGTAAGCGTGTGTTCCTCCCATATGAAGGTAATAGAAAGTACTTAATGAATTCCACAGAGCCATCCAACCATCTGGTCCACAGGCTCATGGTATAGAAGGAGCTAAGACTTAAGAAAATTGGACTGTTGGAGTTACCTTTCTTGAGGAAGAGGATTCCACTGCCCCTCACCTTCTACTTGTTTCCTCAATTCCTGCACTCGCTCACTCTTTTCCTTTTCTAGTGCCACTTTCCTGAATTGTTTGAAGCTTTCAGTTGAAGCTTTTATGGGAGCTGGAAGTGCCATCTTCTTACATAAGCTTATCCAGGACTCTGTATTCTTGAGCTTTAAGTCCTGAAACAAAGAAAGTACCTGTCCAGTTTAAATAGTCTGTGTACCAAGGTACATTACTACACAAAGTTCCTTAAGGTGAAGACGGAAGTGACAATTTTTGCCTGATCTGGCACCCTCGGGTCGTGATCAAAGAAGTGCTTCGCGGCAAAGCACTTTAAAAAGGGCACGATCCCACAAAAGTCTGAACCCTCATTGCATGAGGGCTCAGATGAAGAAGTTTCAAAACGTAGCATCTTCAGCAACTTGCATCTGCCTGCCTCCCAGCCTGGGAAGGGGGAAAGGGAGAGGAGGGAGTTTGCTTTGGGGGGTTTTTTTTTTTTTTTTCCCCCCCCCCAGCTAGTGCTGAAGGGTAGGGTGAGTCTACTGGAACCTCTGGAGGAGGTAGGGCCTTCAATCCACCCACCCCAGCCTCCAACGGTGACTGGGGAACCCCTAAAACAAGCTCCCTTCCCACCCACACCCATTCTGAAAACAGTGCCTGCGCTGGGAGGGAGAAGGGGGTCATTGCTAGAGGTTACAAACCTGCAGCGGGATTTCCCAACTCTCAACAGCCCCCCCAGCCAACAGCAAACTTCTGTTTGGTCTAGAGGATCGTTGCAACTCAGAATGCTTCCTGCAAAGCATTACAAGTTACAGCAGGGAGCTGCTTTTCTGTCTGCGTCCTTAATCTTTAGAGTAGAGTACCAAAAGATGATGCAGTTTTCATTTGACATATTTAAAAGGTCCTGCATTACTGAAGTTATAATCTATTTGCAGTTCAGTTTCTTAGTGACTGAAATTGCCAGTATGTTTAATCCAATTTCTTATAGCAAGATGAAATACCCAGAATTTTGGCTAAGAAAACATCCCCAATGAAAGCTTCCAAAATTTTTGATTCAGATATTGGGTATATTCCAAGCACATCAGAAAAATGGGTTACTAGCCATTGGCACAGCTGCTGTCAACTAACTTCCCCAAACTCTCATTAAAGACAACATGCCTTAATATTCCACTCCCAAGAAGTGCAAAATCCTTAAATAAGCCTTCTGCACAGAAGCATAACAGTATTTTCCCCTTTGCCTAGCTTCCATTATACTACAGTAAAACAAACAACAAATGGATGCATATGGTTCTATTGGAAGTACTCTGGCTTTCTACCAATATTTGCTTCACAGGTCCAGTAACCAATATTATGTTAATAAGCAATGCCTTTAGAGGTAGTGGGGTTTTTTCGGAGAATCTCACTCTGTTTGACTAACGATGCATCAGCATCTGAACAGTATCTACTACTGGAAGAGCAGAATTTAGTAGCATTACTGCTTCTGAAGCCACATGTGGAAAACAGTTTTAAGTATATGTTTTGCTGAATTGAGATGAAGTCCACTAATGTCTAGTGCCCATGAGGCCAACAGCTTGTCTGGAGAATTAGACCTTGCTTTAAAATTTAGATGATCTGCAAGCATCAACTTTTCCTACAGCCACAACTTAGTAGGGACTAGAAGATTTTAGGACGAAGTTGAAACAGGTTCTTGAATCTTTGAATGTGTTCTATTAGCCACAAGTCTACCAGGCACCAAATGCCTAAGCCATAAGAGTCATATTTATGGAGAAGAACTTGAGATAACCAACTACTACTTCATTATGTACTTGGTTAGACAAACATCCAAAACTGTTTCTTCAAATTAAAACTTATGAGGGATACTCAGAGGCTACTCCTACCTTCTTAGAAAAAATTTGAGATTTAGCCTCTAGTGGGTTTTTATCAGTGTCATCAGAATGACCTGTTGGAACAATAGAATGAGCATAGTCAGTAATGCATCAAATCAATTAGACCTTCGGAAAAACGAGTTTATTTTGGGAAGAATTAGATGTTCTAACAAAAAATAGCTTCTTTTTTAAAGAACATGCAGCTTTTTCCTTGTGGCAGGGTTGCTTTGAATTCAGTAACAATTAAGACCAGAAAAGAGGATTACAGGAGCACCAAGGAGATGTTGAAATGAAATGAAATGAAATGAAATGAAATGAAATGAATCAATGAGTGGTTATACACCCGAATACCACTTTGAACTTGGCCCACAAGGGCCTAAACCACTAAGACAGATTTTTAAATACCTGTGAGGGACTGCTGTTTCACGATATGGTCTAATGACCAGACATCCAGAGGGCTTTCACTTTCCAAATAGAGGCCTACATCGGGATTGTAAATTTCATCCCACCTTCTTGTTCTAGGAAAGTAGGCAGGCATGGTACCTTCTTTCCCATGGCTAGAATAGGAATCTCTCCATTCACTTCCTTCCCCTGAATTCTTCAAAAGAATGACTATATCCCTAGCTTGATGTTCCAACTTGCTCTAGAGAGAGTACTCCATTTCTAAGTAAACCCACAATTTAACCTGCCTATTTCTACCTTTTATAAAAGAAGATGTCAGCCAGTAAGGTTGAGTCACATAAACCCTTCTCTTACTCCCAGTGGAAAGTGGTATAAGAGGCATAGGGAACGGTCGTATTTGTTGTTGAACTGCTGAGATCATACATCCAAGGCAAAAAACTAGAAAGGCAATTTCAATAACATTACTTCAGAGTAATCAGGTTTTCCTTTGTATTGTATTAATTTAAGATTCCAACTTTGAAGTATGTTGATCACGTGCTTTTGCACAAGTTACTTTTTGTATACAAATACAAGAAAACACACCTTCCTAATCAGGCATTTTCATATTAGAGTATTAATAGTCAAGGTGCCTATTAGTTGCATGTATAATTTTGCAACATATCACTGCTTGAACATACTGTTCCTGAAATAAGCGGGGGTTGGGGAAAAGAAAAGTTAAAAAAAAGAAGTTAGCACAATAACAGAAGTGGCATGTTCTACTTTTACTCCAGGTATCATTTTTAGTATTAGGAGAGGATTTCTAGTGTACTTTGCCGATAACAGCTTTCTAGCTTCCCAACCCCAAAGGACCTTGTTATCAACATGCAACAGAACTACTGTTACACTATATCAGCACCTTTTGTGAGGGGGCAATTACAACTGAATTCTGGTTAACTAAATGTAGTCAGCAGTTTCATAGCTCTCTTATCCTGTAGCTATCAAAACCTATTAAATATTTGATAAAGTATTAAAAATACATAAAGCATCCTGGGCCCATAAACATAAAAAAGTAATTACGAATTCAAAAGACGTGTGTGGGGGGGAGTAACTAAAAACTCTCCCAATGAACTCTGTAAATATTTTCCTGTTGGCAACAAAAAGATTCTCAAAATACAACACACATATCTAGAATAATTAAGGAGCCAAGATAACCAGCAGAATTTGGCTAGCCAGCCCTATAACTAAATAAAATAGAAAGGTAGACTAACATAACCTTGTGACAGGGCTCCAAGCCTGGTACTATTTAGTCTCCCTTATACATTTCTGGGCCATTTGAAAAAGCAAAATCAGCCTGCTTTAGATACCTTTATGAGAGGTCTATGTGAAAGAGTCACCATCTTATTTAGCAGAGTAGTCCTTTTGTTCTTCTGAAAGGAAATGGCAACCTTCACCATCCTAATCTTTTTGACCCCACAAACAGATGGTATTACAGTAATAGGAATCCTAGAGCATAATCTTAGCAGATGAAGCATTAAAGGAAGGCCAAAGCATGTCCGCTCTTGGGGCTTGAACATTTATCTTGGCACACTGTCCAACTAGCCTGAAGAGGAAATTTACCATAATGCTGATGACTGATGAACAGATTTTCCTGAAGCAGACTGAAGATTTCACAACGGGTTAGGAGAAGTCGATTAGCACCCACAATACTCAATTTCTTCTTCAAAACCATGGATGGTAGATCAAGTGGCTGGAAAGCTTAATAAATGAAGCTGTCAGGGGCCAAGAGTTCACAAATGAGGTGTGTGTAGACCTCTGCCATGGAAGGTCCTATACCTTTAGCTAGTATTGAGCTTCAGTTAGCTTAGTTGAGACCCTGGAGCAGCCAACACTCAGCTCATGATGCTGGTAGTAGCAGTGTGCTTCACCATGAGGAAGCTTTACTGGGAGCTATTACAGGACTGCTAAGTTGGCACCAACTTGTGTAATACCAAAGTTGACTGGTGAACCTCAGAAAAAGCCATTTTCCACTATTTTTAGTAAGCCTGGGTGGTCTCAGAACAAAGCCTGATTGGATATCAATTTTTTCTGAAACTGACAAGTGGTGGAGATAAGTATACAGTTTTTAAAATAAATTGGTTTTCAACTTTTACTTATGTCAGAAAGATGTACATAGTAGTACTAGCTGCTCCTACAGCATCTGTTATCCAAAGGCTACATAGTGCAATATTCTAAAAGGAGCAAAGACTGAAATGTCTTTTCTTTTCCTTGTTTTTTAAAAAAGGAAAAATGTTTTACCAGGGTATTAAATAATGGAAAAGGAATTTAAGACTTAATAGCAAGCACAGACCAGGGGAGCAGGCTATGGCAGCCATGCTAGGGCTGCCATAGCCCACTGCAATAGCAAATCTGGTACAGGTACAAGCTCTGCTCATTCTTCCTAGTCTAATAAATTAATTAGTTAGCTGCCCCTCTTCCAAAATCCAGAAAGTTTGAAGGAAACAGAATTAATACTGGTTAACAAAAGTTTGCAAAGAAGAAAATAGAAGAGGAAGCAGAAACAAGACACACACCGAATAGGAAGAACAAAAGAACAGTGTGTGTGTGTGTGTGTGTGTGTGTGTGTGTGTGTGTGTGTGTGTGTGTGTGTGTGTGTGTGTAAAAAAGGTACATTTTAAATCTCATTTAATCCCAGTAAGATTAGGATATTCATGATAAGAACTTTGTCAGAATGTTTTAAAGCAGGAGGAGTCAATCCTTTTAGCAGGCATACCACAAATTAGCCC